AGGTAAGGAACTCACGAAGCCAGCCCAGAGAAGAATCCCCACTGCGATATCGTCGCTTAGGTATGCAAGACCGTATAGTCCGGGTTACTGTGCCATTTTTATAAATTGGCCGCCCCTCGCTTGTATTTGTTTCTTCTTGTACAAGGTAAGAAAGATGCCTCCAATATCCTTCACCACAGCGTGTATAGATTTGGACTACCTCAACACCTTCCCCCGAAGGTTGTGCTGCAAAAACCTTCTCAACCTGGAGAATTCCACGGCCGAAGACATCAGATATCCGTACCCTATCTTTTAACGCCTATAGCCTACTAGATATGTATCAGTGAGTTGCGTCATGGCTATCTCCGGTATGGGGGCTGCCTTACAACGGAAGGGTTCTAATAGGAATTGAATTCAGACCCTGTTTTTAGAAAATTTGAGCAATGATTTGTGGTAAGATGAGCTGGATCCAGCTAGACTCAGTCATTTCCATCATCCAATCGAAGGTTATATGATGAGAATTCTTCTAAAGTACCCAACAAGGGGCAACGGAAGCGTCTGGTTCCTCGCAAACCATGCTGCTAGGACACCTGGTTGCCTGCCTATCCACCGGTCTTCACCGCCGCGCCAGTCTGTCAAAGAGTGCTCTTTAGACTCCCCAAGCCGGATTGCCACCGTCTCTTCTTGAAAGACTTTGCTGGTAATGGCGGCAAGCGTGGCTGAGAATGCTACCTGTTTTGACTTTGTAGCCACTTCCTTGCACCCAAGTGTATCGTCCCCCAGTAAGTGCTGATTGTAACTCGCTACCGACTAGAGGCCTTATGCCTCTGCCTCAGCTCGTTAACGAGGTTTTGCAAGCTCGTCGTCAACTCATCCGTGTCCAACTTTTGGTGCAAAGCCATAAACTCCTGAATGGAATCGAGCAAGTACTTGGTGCCTCTTCCATGACTCTTTTCCTCCAGCCGCCGGCGTACTTGGCTACCCAACGACAAGTAGCCTAACAGTATCGCCAAGTAACCGTGAGCTACGGCAACCGAGGTCTTCTCGACTGAATCAGCCTATACAACCATATTAGCCTAGCCATATCTGTGCAGTTCGCCCTGACCCCTGGAAACTCACTGTACCAGCCGAATCGCGATTATCCAGGTAGACTTCTATCAGCCTGTCCAAGGTTGAGCCGTCCTGCCCTTGCCACGCATCCACAGAGTGCCGGGCTGACGGAGAGTGCTCGGATGTATTGATCATGACGCCTAGTAGCAGCATGAGTGTCTCGTAGACATCCTTGGAAAAGGCCCCTTTGTGGACAGACTGCTCCAGGAGCTCAAATCCCGCAACGCTGGCCTCTGTTAGCTCGCGGAAAAGATCTCCTCTACTAAAGGCGCTTGCAGCAACGGGGTTGTTATTCGTTGTGTTCAGTGCCAATTTCAATGCTGTCGACTCGAAATCGCCGAATTCTTGCAGAGGTCGAGCCATGGCTGTTGTGAGAACATCTGCGAAGATGGGAAGATATCGCTTTGTCCATCGAGGGCCGGCGTCGGATTCCATTGCTGCAATCGAGTAGCCTTCGAGGAGCGAAAGCGCTAGGCCGGCGTCTGTTCCCTCCATCCCATGAGCTCTACAATGTTGCCAGCCTGTCTCGGCGAACCCAAATAACTGATCTGTCAAGCTAGAGAGGATGTGACGTGTCGCTGTACTGTCACCGTCCTTGCAGAGTACGGATATGGCTTTCAAAGCAACCGTCCTGGGCGACAGCACGGTGGGCGGAGAGCCCCTCCATAGATCCAGGTGCTGTATCGTAGATTTCAATGCAGAAAGGGATGACTGTGCGTTCCTAGATAAGTTAGATTTCCTTTGCGCTGCAATACTGACTATGTCTTCGTCGATGTTGAACATTGTCGAAGCCAGTTGCGCAATACCTTCGCTCTGTAGCTGAGGTACGAGATGAGGCACCGAATACGATGTGAATAGAACCAGAACAACAGACAGGAGGACGAAGCCGCTGACGAAGTCCTCTTCCTGTCCGAGAGCGTGAAATAAGGCGTCCTTCGCACCCTGGTCGCGAAATTGACGGACAAACGTCTTGTCCCGCAGCTTACTCGCCAGCTCCAATAGAGCGTTGCGCCTCGAGCGCGCTGTCTGTGATCTGGGCGGCTGGGGCGTGCCGACTCTGTCAAGCAAATCGGCCATGCTGTCTGCAAAACGGTGATTGGCACCGGCTTGCCTGAGCGCGTGGATATCAATGATGCCACCGCCTCTAGCAGAGTCGTCTTCCTCGATCTCTTCTTCTTCGAACGCAAAGGACGCAAGCTTCGACATGGTTGGGGGCGGACTCAGATCATGGTGGGTGCCGTCAACTCCGATTTGGCTGCCTAGGCTGTCTCCCCCTGACTCATCTGTCTTCAGCGTCCGCTGCTCTCCGTACGTCGATCTCAGCTTTCTAGTGCTCGAGAGCACCTTGGGCCGCATCGATGGTTTCGGCGTCATGTCAATAGGCTTCACCGGAGTGAAAGGAGAAGCATCGGTCGTTCCCGTCCTAGAGTGCTGCGATGAATCTGATATTTCGGAGTCCGAGTCCGAGCTGTCTTCGGTTTGCGCCGCCAACTGATCGATGAGACGGATACGCTTCGGCTTAGATAGCATTTTCGGCTTCGTCACTTGTGGTCTCGTAATGGTGGAGCTTGGCTTTCCCACTACCCGCGCTTCAGAAGATTGTGAGAATGCCTGTCGTGTATGCAAGTTGGACTCGGTCCTGCGAGGAACGTCAACCTCGGCTTGAGCACGAGGAGCGCTCCTGCGTGGTTCGGCTTGCGTCAGTATCTTGGGTCTATCGAGCCCTTGCGGCAGAGGGTCCCGTTTGACGGCGCAAAAAGAACTGGATGCGCTTGTGTTGAAGGGCGATTTCGCTCGGCGGGTGTGAGAGGGTAATCCCGCTGGCGGAGCGATGACAGGTGGTTTGATTTCGACGTTGCGATCAGCTTTGGCCATAGGCGCAACAGCCACCTTCCTCTTCTTCGTTTTGTTTGAACCATCCGGCTGGATTACAGGCGCGTCAACAGGTGGCACAACTTGCCGAGAAAGTGCAAGGCGCAAAGGGTCATCGGATGGTGGGTCGTAAAGATCGTAGAGCTGGTCGGCAGGCGCTGAAGAGGCCTCGGTTGATTGTGTAGCATTGCCGGCGCGTCGCGAAGCATTTGACAGGTCGAGAAACGCATGAATAGGTCGTTTTCGCGATGTCTTGCCGTAAGTTGTTGACTTTTTGCGCGGGACGCTCGGCCCGTCCCTGGTAGCCATGTTGTGTCGTGGCCAACGCAGACAGGCTTCTGATAGCCACGGTGCAGGTTTCCAATGAAGTGGAAGATGGTTATTGGCGATACGCGGTGATTACTGACAACGACGGGAGAATTCGGTATGGCGGACGATGGGCGGAACGATGAGTCCAGTGATTACTTGGACGGAGACAGCGACGCAGGCGGCGCTGGTCAAGAATAGCGTGGGTGGTTATTGTTTCTAAGGGGATCGAGAAGGGCTATAGCTGAGTGAGGTGAGGCGCGCAGGTTCGCGGCGAGGCACGTCCTGCTGGCTTGCGACTCTGCCCTGCCTGGCCTTAGTCAAGGTGACAGCCGGCAGGCATTGCGGAGGATGGAAAGAGTAGAGACCGGGGGACTTTGCAAGACAACCTCACACATTCACAGGAGAAGAGGCACCCGTCAAAGTCGAATCCCAAACATGAGAGGTTTTGATGAATGGTTTAATTCATTCAGGCGGAACAGCGCTTGAAGTCGCTTACTGGCAGCTGGATAATGGAGAGAAGAAAGAGAGGCGTGGCAAGCACGGCAAGGTATGGCGCATCGCATATTACCTTACCTCAGGTCCAATGGTAAGGACGGATGCGGGTATTGAGTCTGTTTGTCCTCCGCCCGGGCACAAGTTTCCTGCCGTGCTGTGGCTGCCGCGCCGCCCAGCGTCGCTCCCGCCGGACGGGTCTTTTTTGTCATGACCGGACGTAGGGTAGGTACCTGCCTTGAGTTACCAGCACCAATTGGAAAGCACCACAGGATACCTGGCCCTGCCTGCCTGGTCATCCCAATGGAAGATGTGCACCCCCCGGTTATCGAGTAGATACGCTTATTGTCTTGTGGGATAGATGTCTGCTTGCGGCAGGTGGCTGATTCGCCTTCGGTACCTATTTACCTATTGCCTAGGTACCTAAATAGTGTCCCATGCTTGTTGGTAGGTTGGTGGGGTGAGACTCCGTCAACCCAGGCGTGCCAGGGCTCTGCAAGTAAGGGGGTAAGGCATTGCATGTGCGAATGAATTGGATCAGTTATGACCCCTCACATCACAAACCAGCCCCGCACGACCCTTATCGCTGGTTAAGTATTGTGAGCCCGATGCCTATGAGCATCAGCTCCAGTGCCTTGAAGTGCCTCGACACATACCTTGACGCAAAAGTATGGTTACTGGCCAAATCGGTATTTCCCACGTTTATGGTTACCCGCCTATTATCACCTACCTTACCCACAAGTTGTGACGCTTTTGTTTTCTCATAGGGCCACTTCGCTTCGTTACCTTCCTCGACACGAGGTATACCTAGGCAATCTACCCTGACTTACCTTAAGGTAGGTAGGTATCTGATTTGAGCAACGGGGAACGGCGAGCTCCATTGTGTCTCCTGGCACACTCGTTTCGTTCACCCCGTTAAACCCTTGTGGCTTCCCGCGAAGACCTGGCCAAAAGGTACTTTATATCGATCCATTGGAGGCTTTCCTGGCCCGCTGCCCTATTTTCATCTTCCTACCTTAAGGTAGTTTCTGGATTTTCCAAACCCCAGAGCCCGTCTTACCTACCTCCTCCTTCTACTCTCAAGATCCCAGCCAAGCCATCCTTGGACAAAATCCATTGCGAACCCCTCCCACTTCGTCCGGTACCGGTACCTCACTTGCATTCCTCCTTACCATCCTATCGCCAGCCTTTCGCTCAAATAAATCTTGGTCAAATACCGCAGTCACTTTTCTTCAGAAATGGCAAGTCAAGATTCAAAGTCCGCCAGCGGCAGCGGACCTACTCAGTGTGTCGGTCCGTTGTATCGTTCAGAAAGTCAGAAGCCCACGGCCACTGTCTCGACTGAAATCAAGTTAGACAACGTTGTTGTCTTGTCCCAAACGCCTCAACTTATCGCCCTTCTCACGTAAGCTTCCTAGTGTTCATCCTACCCCTCGTAACACCCAGTAGAATATAATGAGGCACCGGCCCTACGCAGAGACGTGACTAAAGAAACACCTCTTTGAGTGGTACCATTGGCTTACTGATCTCCGGCAGCATCATTCGAGACAAGAACACGGAGCGCGGTGACTTCATTTTCTACTCCAACCGCATCATTCGCCTGCTCGTGGAGGAAGGTCTGAACCATTTGCCTACCGTTGAGCATGACGTGACAACACCCATTGGTCGGACTTACTCTGGGCTTATGTTCCAAGGCAAGATCTGCGGCGTATCCATCATGCGTGCCGGCGAGGCCATGGAGCAAGGTTTACGCGACTGCTGCCGCTCTGTTAGAATCGGCAAGATTTTGATCCAGCGCGATGAGGAGACTGCTCAGCCGAAGCTATTCTACGACAAGCTGCCAGAGGATATCGCCCAGCGCTGGGTTCTTCTTTTGGATCCCATGTTTGCCACTGGTGGTTCCGCCATCATGGCAGTCCAGGTCCTCAAGGCTCGTGGTGTTCCCGAGGACCGCATTCTGTTCCTGAACCTCATTGCGAGCCCTGAGGGTATCCAGAACTTTACCGCAAAGTTCCCCAAATTGAGAGTTGTCACGGCATTTGTCGACCAGGTATGTACAAGCCGGCCCCAGCTCACCTCGGATCACACAGTCTAATAATTGTTTTGCTCTAGGGTCTGGACGAAAAGAAGTAAGTTCGCATCCTGCGATGCCAAGAAGCCTCTGTCATACTAATGGGCTGTGATAGCTACATCATCCCCGGCCTCGGCGATTTTGGGGACAGGTTCTACACTGTTTGAGTGTGGCTGTATGTCCTGAAAGCCAACTTTATATGGCATTGGTCTCCGGCTTGGGTTTCTTCTGCACTACTGTCCTTGTCCCCGTGTGTTGCAGACCTTAGGCTGCATTCATTGACAATGCACCTCCTCGTGTACGTTCAAGAGGTTGCTAGTTCATCTAGTATTCATCATCATCCATGTCGATACCCTCACCCCCGTATCTCCTATCGTCGTCGTCATCGTCTACTGGCCGGCTCGTGGGGGGGCGCCGAGCGCTCGAGGTCTTGTGATTGCTTCCGCCGACGGGTCCTGCTTCCTTGGCAACAGCATCTGCGGACATGTGTCAAATGCATGTTCTCAAGGCGATTGCAACAGCGATTAAGGTATTAAACATGTACTTACCTGCAGCGTCCACCCACTCTCCATAAACGTCCACGGCGGCCGAAAGGTCTAACAGGGGTTTAGCAGTTGGGAAGGGGGAGACGAAAGCAGTTGCAAGAATAGAGCCTCACAATTGATACTACACTGGAACATCTGACCGCATACTCTGCAGTCCAACGAACCAACACCCGCTTTCTTATCCAGCTTTACAGCGACGGAGTCTTCGTGGTTGCAGAAGAGGCACGTGAACTTGGAGGGAAGAACCTCTCTCTGTGAGTTGGCGTCAATAACTGCGTCGCCAGCATACAAGCAACCTGCACCAGCCCTCAAGCGGAGGAAGCAAACGAACCTTTTTCGGGCCTTGAGGTTTGCTCGAACTTTTGCGCTTCCCCATGATGCTGAGTGACGATGAATGATATGCGCGACCGGCGCGTAGAATATAGAAGGGAGCGAGAGGGTGTGTCGGAGAATAGCAGGTTGCGCAGTTCGTTGTTGTCCGCGTTCGTGTGCGATTGCAAGCGCAGGGTACGTCACAGGCTGGAACAGACGTGGAAGAAAAGCAATGATAGGCGTTTGAGAGATGGCTCAGCGGCGGGTGGTGAATGAGGCTAAAATTCCAGCACATGCAACGGATGCGACGGTGGAATGCGCGACGGCGACATGTATTTTGCGGGTGGACAGCCCTTGGCCGAGGCGGCGTGGGCGCAAGGTGCACTGGTGCCGCAGTCACGGTGGACCAGAAAGCTCTACTGGAGCAGAAGGTACCTTACTTGCTTGGCTGCCTTACCTACCTTACCTTTCAATATGTACCTTATCTATCGGAGGCTGGCAGCGGGGTGACTAAGGTACCTAGGTGCTCTGCACGCACCTCAAGGTAGGTAAGTACCTAAGCGCGTAATCGATAAGATACCTGACCTAGGTGGAAAGCATGGCACATCCCACCCCGCTCTAACCTTGAGGTAAAGTAATGGAAGGTAAGGTACGGAGTGTATAGGTACTATCCGTATATTGCCCATCTACCGTACCCCGTACCTACCTTCCATAGGATCAGAGGAACGATATCGGAGTCCGGCACTTGATGCACAAGCTAGAGCGGCTCATAGCCGTCCCATATGTCACCTGCACAATTATCAGATTCAAACATACCTACACCTCACGCATTGCATCCTACATCTTGTGTTCTGAGCTACACAACAAGCCATTGTTATTGTGAAGACGTAAGGCACGTAAGACACCAGGCATCTTCGATCTAGATACCCTGGCGAGTGAGGGGTTGCGGAAGGGTGTCACTTAAGGTAAAGCCTGCTAAACCTTACCTCATGCATTCATTGCCTTCAATCGTACCTGTCTTATGACAATGCCCTCTCTGAGGATCTTGAGTAACTGCTCACCTCAGACGCATTTGTGCTTTCCTGATGGATGTTAAGGTAAGGTAAGGTATCAATACCGCTAGGTCCTTCGGTCGCCTTATCTTTGGCGCTCGAAGCCGCATCAAGCTGTCTTCCTCCTCCACCGAGTCCTTGTCTGCCCTGGGTGTTTGGGAAGGTCGCGGACGGCCCCGCAACCCGAGAACTCAGGTGGGCGCCGCCGCCGCATCACCATAGGTCCACACACACCCAGTCTTTACATACCTTATCGTAGACCTCCCCACAAACAATGATGCTTATCACTAAGGTAGCAACGCTGAGCATAAGGTACCTAGGTAGAGTCTACCTTACCTACCTGCTTTACCTACTACGTAGCAGAACTCCACGTCTTCACTTTGAGGTAAGGTAAGCTGGACAACTACTCAGTACCCAACATTGCACTGTATGTCATGCACGAGTCTGCTTCTATGCCTTGTACTTAGGTTGCTCCTCGCTCAGGATGTGTTATGTAAGCGTATCCTGTAAGGTCGGTTGGCGGGGGAGGGTGCAGGTGCCCGCATGCCTACCCTTTCCTCCAGGTAGGTGCCTTAAGGTAAGGAAGGTAAGCACCCCAACCCCCATCCCCAGCCCGAACTAAGGTAGATGGGACTGGACGTCCGTGAGACTCGAAAGCCCATGTACCGCATCACCTGCTACCCACGGATAAGAAGAGTCGGGCACGGTAGTGGGTACTTGCCCCTCCCCGTCCGGCCAGCTCAATGTTCACGCGCGGCGCCTTCCGATGGGGTCACGAGATCGCCCTCGGGGCGTCGACCGTCTCTCCTTTGTGCATCTCTATCTTCTCTCATGCTGTTTACTACATAGCCCTCACTGCTGGCTTCGATATAGTCATCATCCTCGTCCCTCATCCTTGGCTCTCCAGTGGACCAGCCATCGGTAGTCACCGACTTGCCTTTGCATGCCTTGCCTCTCAAGAGATAGCTGTCCCCATGTGCTCCTTACCTTCCACAGTATACTCTAGCTTTGTCTTACTTGGACTCGCCTCCTATTAAACTTCATTTCGTCCAGCTTCCTTTCCACGTCTCCCGTCTCTTCATCCTCTCCTCCTCTTCCTCTTCCTCCTCCTCTTCCTCTTCCTCCTCCTTCTCCTCCTACTTCCACCTAGTCTCCGGTCAGAATCCCCGTCCCTCCTGCTCAATCTTCCCTCGTGAAGCATCCCAGCAATTTGTCTACGGTCTCTCACACTCCAACACAGCGCATTTTTGAAAGACGCGGGCGACCTTCTCACAAGACTTCTCTCTTTGTGTCTTCTGCCGTTGTAGTGTGACAACTAGAAATTGATCGTCATGAGCCACCCTACCGTTGACGATGGCTCTTTGGCCGAAGTCATAAACTCCTTGAAATCCATCCAGCAGACTCAGTCTGACCTTGTGGCTGCTGTCGACTTGCTGAACCAACGATACCAACAGCTGCCTGTTGATTCTGATGCAGCCACACTCGATCCGAATCCATCCCTCAGCGAGATCCCTGAAAGATCTCGAACCCCCGAGCCTTCCGATGCCGTTGGTGAATCTGCCAAGAGCTCTTCGTCCGATTTGACCTTGCAGGCCCCAGCTTTGCCCTCGTCACCCAGCCAGCGATCCGGCCTCACTTCCCGCATCATCCTAACGTACGTTTCCAGCTCCTATGGTGCACCGCTTGCCGCCTGTCACCATGGCAGATCTTTCTCTGACCGATGCTCTCATTCTAGGACTTATCCAAAGCAGATCGGCATCAACCCTCTCCCCATGAATTGGGGCGAATCGGACCCCCATCGTCGTGGGCCAGTTGTTGTTTCTCGTTCATCTACCACTATTGGAAGACGTAACGGTCCGTAGGCCCGGCCCCCTTACTTACGCGTAACAAGCAATATTAGCTGACACTTTTGTCTATTCTCAAGCTGTCGGAGGTCAGTAACATACCTTTACCTGTCTACTAAGTTGTCTTGAACTGACAGTGTTTACAGCCCAGTGAGTGACCCATTCATGGAATACTCTTTTGGCCATCTCAAAGGGAAGAATATGAATTGTTGCGGAACAGAATAGCTGACAGTGGACTCGCAGCGGTGGTTCTTACTCCATCTACTATGCCCTGGCTGTTGCCAGCAAGCAACTTAATCTCGAGCATAGGTGAGCCGTTTTGTCGCCAAAACCAGTATGTGGACTCATTGATTCTAGACCCGACTTCACCAACACGGAGCCGGCTGCTAAGATTGGCCCCTTCCCTCAATGGGGAGATCCCAAGAAGATCGTCGCCATGGATCCCTGGGGCCATCTGTCTCCCTGGCTCTTCAAGGACACTATCGAGAAGCACAACGGTGAGTAGATACATTAAGCCTGCACCTTTTACAGCATGAGATCTTGGACTGAATCGCCGTAGTCGACATTCGCCCAACCATCGCCATCACTAAGGCACATATGAAGGTACCGTTGCGCCTACTGGAGTGATATTACGTCCCCTGACAATGTTTAGCTTCCCGAGCTGGAGGAGAGTGTCAAGAGTGGAAGACTGTGAGTGAAGCCATGACCAGGAGACGGTGAGCGTCGTTGTAGGGGCTGACTGGCTAGTGTTCCTGACGGCAAAGTCTGCTTGAACGAGCTTGGAGAGCTGGCCGTAACCAAGTTCGCCGTCGAGCCGGTATGTCAGCTTCCCAGCTACTGATTCAGATTGTTTGCTGACGCTCTTCGCACAGGTTTGGTATCTCCCCGGCGTAGCTGAAAGATTCGGCATCGGTTCGTCAGGCTACAACCATCTGGGAATCTATCAGCAGCTAATTGCAAACAGATGAGGGGGCCTTGCGAAGGTCTCTTTTCGAACACACTGGTGGCAGCTACCCCGAGGTAGATGGCCCCTGTTACCTCATAGACACACACGCTGACCATTTGTCATAGTTGATTACCCGCAACGATATTAAAGTGTTTCTGCCCCCCATAGGTAATAGCACCCAGGCTTCGAGCAAGAGGATGAACTGACAATGTGTATCATGTAGGTGGTCTGACAGTATACTGTTTCGGCGACCCGGCCAAAATGTCCGACGAGTCAGTACGACTGGCATTGCGAATCCACGATGAGGTTTGTCGTCTCACTGCTACGGGTAGTTTTGCAATTAACCGTAACGTAGTGCAATGGTAGCGACGTTTTTGGATCCGATATCTGCACATGTCGCCCTTATCTCATATTCGGCATCGAAGAGGCAGTCAAGGAGGCGCAGAATGGCGGGAGTGGTGTCGTTATTTACTTCCGAAAAGAGGGCAGAGCCCTCGGTGAAGTGACCAAGGTGAGCAATGCCGAGTTCCAAGATTGATTGTGCATGAGTTGATGACAGTTATATAGTATCGTACGTACTCTCTTGCTTGTTTGGCATCAGAGCCTTGCTCATGTGAAGACTACACGCGGGCGACCGAGGCTGCACGTTTCATGATAGGCTGCTAACTGACCACGAAGTCGTGTACAACGCTCGTAAGCGCGGAGAAGACCGAGCATCGGACTACTTTAAGAGGACAGAGAACATTGCTGGAGTGAAGGACATGCGTTTCCAGGCTCTCATGCCCGATATCCTGCACTGGCTCGGAATCCGCAAGATCGACAGAATGCTGAGCATGAGCAAGTCAGTAGCTCCTCCCCATCCGAGATACCATGACGCTAACGTGAACCACAACAGCATGAAACATGATGCCATTGTAGGACAAGGGTAATGGCGATTTTTTTACGTGTCAGTATTTCAGATCTTGCTGACAATTTCTCTAGAATTCCCATTCACGAGCGTGTCGAGCTCCCCGAGGAGTGGATTCCCGCAGATTCTCGCGTCGAGATTGATGCAAAGATTACTGCAGGTATGCAAGTGAGAAGGGGAGCGTGGCCCGCTGTCAGTGACTGATGAGTTGCTATAGGATACTTCACCGCCGGAAAGCGCATGACCGAAGAAGAGTTAAGAGCTGTGCAGGGCAGGATGTGGGAAGAGTAAGTCTACCTGCTTTCCCCGCGTTGCAGGCATCGTGTATGACTGACCAAATCCTTCCTTACTTCACAGTCTCGACCATTAGCTCCTGCAGAGATGGCATTCGCTAGTAGGAGGGGCAAGTAAAGGCAACATCGCCAGCTTCAGGTGATTACGCACGTGGTTGTGATACTTGGCCCAAATGATGGATGAAAAGGCATCGGTGAGAACCGATGAAGCTCCTATACAAGTCGGTGCAGTATTGGCCTCTGCATGGAACACTTGCACCATTGCCGACAGCAGTGGCTTGATAGAACATGCAGTATAATCCATGTGTGGTATGCCTACCGCATGCCAGTCTTGGACCGGTAGATGGGAGCCAGGTGAGGAGTGGAAATTCGGATGGATGGCACTTTGGCCAGCTGGTAATATCTGAAGCCAAACTGCATGTATCTAGACAGACGCAACGCTTGTGGTCAGGAACCAACCCCGCGCCCAGTGAGATAGCTTGCCTGCGTTGAATTGACTTGTCTAGCAATAATGCAAGGGTAACCGAACCAGCTGCAACATATGTAATGATTACACAGAGCCGCGAGAGTATACCAGTGTCCAGAGGCGACAATCGGCCGTGATTGTCGCACCACTCGGCTGCGAAGAAACCAGGCTGGGGTATGGATAGGCCCGACCTTGTCTGTGGGCTGACCGGGGGGTGTTCCGATGCAGAATCCTTTGGTGTACGAATATACTACCGTGACTACTTACATATTAACTTACAGTTGTGCAGTATAAGGTACGGAGTACAACGGCTCGAGCAGTGTAGCATGTCCTTGACCGGTCTGGAAATGTCATAGCCATGGGCGGTCTTGATTGGGTTCGACTGAGCGGGACCTCATGGGAAATGGTCAACGAAGCGGTTGGCAACCCCACAATGGCTGCAGGCGTGACGCCGGCCATGCATGGCCTTTGCGTATAAGTGCCCAAACAGACGCTCACCGACCCATACAACACCAGACACATAGTTGGGAGCCGGTTCCCCATCAGGCACCGGCCATGTGGTCCAATGATGGGACGCTGGTACTGTCAGCGGAAAACCGTCGACCGGGCTCGCCCGTCCCCAAGGAACCGACATTCCCGCCGAGTAGCCGGAGGTGATGGCTTATTGTTAACGCGCACGACGCCCACTTGATGAGGGGCGCAACATAGCAATCATGGTTCCTTACCATCCCAGAGCTGTTGCATTCTTGCAAATTCGATCGCCGCCGTGCCATTATCGGTCTCACCCAGACTTGTACCAGGATATTTGTTCAACGCGATGGCGACCGTTTCCCGGGACCTTCGGGACACGGACGGTGTGCGGAGGAGAGAGGCATCACCTCGGCCGGACCGTCGACGTCGACCAAGGCTCCTACGAGCCAGCGCGACGGAACCTACCATCACAACGACATCCAATGCCAGCCGTGGCGCCATTTCGAGCCCGCAATCGTCTCAAAGGGCCACCGAACTCCTCAGCCGCGTTGCCGTATGTTCGGGTCATGCTCCCGAATACTCACCGACGTCGGTGGCCGCTCCCCATATGGCGTCGCTCAGCGCCGAAGACATGACCATTCCAACTACAAATCGAGTCCAGGGCCATCGAGAACACCTATCTTGTTCGTAGACTGCCACGATACCAGCATCCGACGATCAAATTACTGATACCAGTGTGGCCAGACTCGAACGGCTATTTCAGCTTTCCAAACTTTGATGCGTGGGATGGAGAACGGCGCAGTGATGACAAGGAAGAGGACGTATGAAACGGAGAATTGTCGTGATCAGTCGACATGAAGGGACTTCCCTGAGGGGGTCCAATGCTGTTACTGGGAGTTTCAGCACACAATAAGCGTTCTACGTGAATACAGAACAAGGCGAAGAAACAAGAGACACCGGCCTAGAGACGTTTTGCTCCCAGCTGGTATTCGAGCAAGGAGGAAGCAAGAACGAGAGGAGGAGAGACGGCGCGAAGAAATAAGAAATAGCCCGGACAACGGTACGGAATGGTCGATCTGAAAGCATCGACGTTGATGAGACTCAAATATGGTTCGTTCTAGCGCCAGGGCGTTGATTTTGGGTCGGAATCGGTTGAGGAGTTACGCATCTTTCCTCTGAGAGACGCGAAAGCCGCGTTGTTCGTTCAATGGCGTTGTGGGATTTTGTAGGATATCCAGCTTTCCGAGGCGGTTCTAGGTGTGGTGCCCGTACGTATGTCACAAACCGGACGCAAAAAATAAGAGGGTACATAGGTTTACACGGGTGGTAAGAATGTATGCGTAAAGTAAAGATACACTGCCAGCCTCGTATTGTCATGCTTGTTCACGGACAGACCTGAATGAGTGTAAATCTCGGTAAGGCGGGAGACCCGTTCACCGATCACCACAATGTGGAGGCACAGGGCATCACACCCACCTCACCTTGCCCCAAAGGCGGGGCAAAGTTCCAACAGTTTGTACCTGTAAGGCCTTCCATCTTGACTAGGGGGCCGGAGTATTGTGATGACATGTCACTGGCCAAAGTGGCCTTGAAAAGTCAACCAATTGGAGGCACTGGATGAAAAGTTGCAGAGACACTGACGTCTCAGAAGTGGAACTCTTGGGGCTGGCTTCAGCGCCAAAGAATTGTGAAAAAGTGCACATCACGTGATATACAGTGCTAAATAGGGATTCGATAGCTGATTACTGTGCTTCTCGCTGACGAGGTCCACGAGGTGCTTGCCCTGGCGTGGTCGGGGCAGGGGCATGCACAGTGCACCATGCTGGAAAAAAAACCCGGATTACATAATTCGAACGGGGCACACTCGCTAAGAATTTCGAGCCACACATTCTCGCATCTTGAATTTTATCACCAGCGAAACCACCACCCCTCCAAACCTTTCAACTACTCAACGTTCATCCGCCAGACAATTAACAGCCGCCCAAAATGGCTGTGGGAAAGTGAGAATAACCACCTCTGGACGAATTGACGACGATGTGCCGCCGACCGCAATCGTCGTCGCCCAGGCGCAGGCCGTAAACAGCAGCTAACCAGTTTTTCTCTCGCAGGAACAAGAGATTGTCCAAGGGCAAGAAGGGTCTCAAGAAGAAGACCGTGGACCCCTTCTCCCGCAAGGACTGGTACCAGATCAAGGTATGTGTTTTGCCGCTGTGCGAAATGAGTCTCGATGCCATTTTTTTGCAGTATGCTGACTGGTTTTTTTCTTCTCTCTCACAGGCCCCCGCGCCTTTCAACGTTCGCGAGTGAGTTCTCAGCCCAAACCCGACGTGGATCACGATTCGACATCCAGCCATTGTCGACAGCCGAGCGCGAGAAGGAATTGAGCCATCGGGTGGGTGCTGACTGCGCGTGTCTTTTAGTGTCGGCAAGACCCTGGTCAACAGAACCACCGGTCTCAAGAACGCCAACGACGCCTTGAAGGGCCGCATTCTGGAGGTCTCTCTGGCTGATCTCCAGAAGGATGAGGATCACGCTTTCCGCAAGGTTAAGCTCCGTGTCGACGAGGTCCAGGGCAAGAACTGCCTGACCAACTTCCACGGCCTCGACTTCACCTCCGACAAGCTCCGTTCCCTCGTCCGCAAGTGGCAGACTCTCATTGAGGCCAACGTCACCGTCAAGACCACCGACGACTACCTCCTCCGCCTCTTCGCCATTGCTTTCACCAAGCGCCGCCCCAACCAGATCAAGAAGACCACATATGCTGCCTCTTCGCAAATCCGTGCCATCCGTCGCAAGATGACTGAGATCATCCAGCGCGAGGCCTCTACCTGCACTCTCACCCAGCTGACCTCCAAGCTCATCCCCGAGGTCATCGGCCGTGAGATCGAGAAGTCTACCCAGGGCATCTACCCCCTGCAGAACGTAAGCACTTTCTTACTGGTGCCACTGGCCCAGTGACTAAATGGTACTAACAACCATCCCAGGTCCACATCCGTAAGGTCAAGCTTCTCAAGCAGCCCAAGTTCGATCTCGGTGCCCTGATGGGTCTCCACGGCGAGTCTGGCACCGACGACCAGGGACAGAAGGTTGAGCGGGAGTTCAAGGAGCGCGTTCTTGAGGAGGTTTAAAGGAATCAGGCCCTGCATGATGGATGCTCCGGCAGAAGGGGACTCTGGCTCTACCGGCCGGGAAACAAATCCGGCATTGTTTTAGGTCGTTGCACATGGCGTAGCATATAAGGCGGCTGCGGGTCTAGGGTACCTCAAAATGGTAAATGGTCAATTCTTCAAAGACACTGCAATGTGTGTATGCAGCCTGGCTGCGAGTTGTCTAGCACAGGTGGGAAATGCGAGGCTGCTTCCCTCACGGGATTCTCGCGCTCCAGCTCAAGCACCGCTGGTGGCCTGGCCATCACGACTTGGCTCATATCCCCTCACTCGTAAAGAACACGACCTACGGGGGCCGCCTGACCAATCCTCAGTGCCGTGGCGTACGAAAAGTCCCTTGTGGGATTGAGTCTATAGCAAGTCTATGTGGCCCGAAACATTTGCCTAGTCAAAATGCATTCCCTTAACCACACTCGCCTATTATGTCTAATAGTTTGCAGAGGGATGAGTGAGACGACTACAGCAGCCTACTTCCCAGGATCCTTTAGTCTTGGTTCTTTAGGAACTCAACGACCGCTACCGAGGAGTGATCAGTATTGTGACTATTTCTTTAAGATAAAGTGCTTGTGTACCTTGACGAAACTCCTCAGGTTTCTCCGAAATGCACCAGTGCCCGGCATCAAGATCTACTAGTCGAAACTTGGGGAAAAATTGCCCAACCGTCGGCAGGACGTCATCAGGCACGTACTTGCTTTTGGTTCCCCGAACAAATAGGGCAGGCTTTTCGAAGCGAGTCTTCGTCGGGTCCTTGAATGGGAAATCGCCCATGTGGATTAAGGACCGACTGATGATGTCGAGGGGCACCCGGAACTTTTGCTGCGGCTTGCCAGCCTCTGGCCGATACAAATTACCCAGAAGAAACTGGCGAATAGGAAGAGACTGCAGCACAATGGTGAGCATGATTGATCGAGATTGATCGAGCAAACCCTCTAAGAGTAAAGTGGAACAATCTCACGTCCTCGTAATCCTTCAG